TATTTATTAGTGCATTCTGTAAGAAATACAGTAAAACCACTGTTCGTGTTTTCTAGTGGAAAAAAAGTGATAAATCTATTAATTCAAACTATATCCTTATTATGATTACTTCTTAAACATTTACATGTTTAAATATGCTTGGTGAATAGTGGATCATTCTTTCCCACAGTGGTAAATTTCAGCATAATGCTAAATGACTGGACTAGACAGTAAAATAATCACATGTAGATTACATAAACAGATACTTATTCTGTTATATGTAAGCTTACTTATAAAGTAACATAAAAAAAGCATTAGATAACAGTGATAAAAAATGTAAACAAACGTTAATCCCTTCCCTGAAAAACAAAAGATAAAAAGGCTTCTTGTTTTATTAAAATAAACAAAATATTATCTATTTTATAAAAAAGGTAAGACACTGATTTTACAAAACTATATTTCCAAATATAGGTAAAGAAAATCTGGAATAGTTGACACACTTTATTGAGATAAAATGTGCAAAAAAAACTGATTAATACTTAAATGTATTAAATTCATTTTACATAGACTGATACCATTCCCTACAAAAAAAACCTTCTTGTTTTGTTCAGATTCAAAATAGTGTCTAATTATCTGAACTTAAGATTTAATGAGCCACTATCCAAAATAACAACAACAGCAAAAAGTCTATAGTGTAGGAAAAATCAAGTAAAACTAAAACATTTCTTTTACTTATTACTTGAAATTCATCCCCACAAAAAAAAAAAAAAGAAAAGCTAATACCCATTTAGGCAGCAGAGAAAAATATGAAGTGCCTATATAAAACTTAGAAATAAAAAAATTAAAAACAATCAAATTTTGCTATAACAAAATGCATATGAATTTCAAAGTTATTCGTGTTTAATAGATTTATTAAACTTAGAATTCACAGAGCATTTGGTACTTCTGTTTGTGCTCAGATATTTTGCAAAGTGCCCTCAGAGGGGCTTGGGAAGGTGACATAAACATAAAATTGTGATACTTTCCTCCATACTAAAAAAGAATTATTGGATTTAAAAATTTAATTTATAATTCTTAGGAGAAATTGGGGGGGCGGGGGGGGCATACTAAAAAATAATTATTGGATTTAAAAATTTAATTTATAATTCTTAGGAGAAATTGGGGGTGGGGTGGGGTGTTGGGACACACTAACAATTCTCAGCTCTAAAACATTTTCCAAAGAATGTGGCAAAACTATTAACTACTTAGATGTGTTATTAGTGAATCAAAATGCAAGCAATGGGAGCATAAACATCTAACATATTTGCAAATTAACTTTAAAGTTTTCAATAATAACTGGTTATTTTTAAAAACGTAAATATGAAACAGATAATACAGACTCTAATTTATCCAGGAAAAATAGCATTATCCCCCATCTATAAAATTAAATCGTAATTTCTCTCTTGAACATAACATAAAACTACTTTGAGTAACAATGAAACAGAAGCATGGGTTTAGATATGCACCACTCTCTATGATGTACTAATTTACACAGTATGTTTAATAACACAATATTGGATGTTGTCCTTCACTGCATATTAAAATTTTGAGAAACATCATTTTTAGCAACATAGATTTACTCTACTGTTTACCTAAATGGACACATAAAAATATATAAAATTTTTAAAAATTCAAGTTATTTTAAGGAGAAATAAGACTAAGTTTAATCACCCACCTTTTTGAAGCTGCAGTTAGAGGAGAAGGCATAGAGTTTATAACACTTTTCACAATATAGTAAATATATATTCCAATTTGCCCATAAATGAAAGATTTTAAAAGAAAAACATGTTTCTTCCAAGTAACTTGTCTCTTCTTGCCCTGGCAAGAATAATTATTAGTGCCCTTAATTTCAAGATTGTTGTTGTTGTTGTTGTCTGTTTTAATTACCTTTTTCATGAAGTATAAACATGTTGAAATATGAGTAATAAAATAAAAATTAAAGGGAAAATCTGCTTTTGCAATAAAATAATTCAAAATCATTTCACTATGAAGCACCTTTAAATATGCTGGTCTAAATGTTAATATAAAACCTAAACAGTACTTATTTCTGAAGTAGAATTTTCTCCAGTTTTAATAACTTCAAAAAGTAATACTAAGGACATCAACCTGTGCTTTCTAGATTTTTGAAAGTATTCTCATAATGTAAAGAGTTTAGATATGGCTCATTGTCACAGTTGGGTGGACAGAGATTTCATGATAAATTGGCTACAGAAAACTAAACTCTTAATGACTGAATGTTTTGCATTTTGCTTGAGCCAAATAGATGTTTAAATCATGTACCACCACATTCCCTGCTTAACATTCCAAAGTTTCTTTATTCTTCATAGTTTTCTAATGAACAAATAATTAGTTTTCCTGAGTAAGATTATAAAAAAGTTAACCCTGCCCTAACTGGTTTGGCTCAGTGGATAGAGAGGCAGCTTGTGGACTGAAGGGTCCCAGGTTCGATTCCGGTCAAGGGCATGTGTCTTGGTTGCAGGCACATCCCAGTGGGGTGTGTGCAGGAGGCAGCTGATTTATTATACTCCAGTACGTCTGTGTCCGAGAGTTGTCCTTTGGACAAAAACTTTTCTGCCAAAGTTCTGTCATTTGATTTTGTAGTAGTTGGATGAGATGAACCTTCATAAACAAACAGTAATGAACTTGCATAAAAGTTAAGCTGCTTCTGGCTTTCAAACCACTGCAGAATTCTCTCAATCTTCTGAATACTGGCAGCAACAGCATCTTTTCTCAAGCAGAATCCATTATGAAAAAATCTGGAAACTCCTATAGAAAGGAAAATACAGTATCACTGTAATATATTATTACAATTATAATGTAATCATAAAACAGCTATGACTTGGGAAGTAAATTCATCTTAGATATCATTTTTCCCCATCATCCCTTGCAATAAACTGAACTAGGAGGAATTCTAGTCAGACATAGAAACCTGAACTTCAAACTTAATTTCTGGTGAAGATGCTGGTAAACATTTAAGTTACACTTATGTAAAGTGAAATATCCTTTAAACAAAACTATTTATTACGGATAGACTGGTAGTTTAGTTCTCTCTACATATATTCTCTTAAGGAATGTATTCCAAAATTTATTTCATTCGCTATTTTGAGGGATTTTATAGAAGATTACTTGTTTATCAGAACCACATGTAAGAGCTCATCTAAAACCTAGAGTCAAATCATAACCATTTTTAATGGTGTCAACAGCCCATTACCAAAATACCAAGTCATAACAAGCACTATATATTTTGTTCTCAATGATATTGATTAAATCAGTCTTTCCACAAGATAAACATTAGGGATTAGCACTATTCCAGTTTGAGTACATTATCCAAATTAAGACTTTTAAATGCTTTGACCTATCAGATTATCTATGCCTCTTAAAATTATTCATGCCTATTTTATCATATTTGGAAATTTATGGGTATGTACAATTTTATTTTTGCCTTTAAATAGTTGTTCCCCTACTCTGAGTCAGAAATTGCTAAAAAAAATATATTCACATTAGCTTGGGAAATATTTTAATAAAGAACCAATCTGCATGCCCAGCCGCAGGGGCACAAGTGGCTGAGTGTCGACCTATGAACCAGGAGGTCGCGGTTTGATGCCTGGCACAAGCCTGGGCTGCAGGCTCGATCCCCAGTGGAGGGTGTGCAGGAGGCAGCCAATCAATGATTTTCTCTCATCATTGATATTTCTATCTCTCTCTCCCTCTCCCTTCCTTTCTGAAATCAATAAAAATATATTTAATTTTTTTAAAAAAGAGCCAATCTGCATATTATCTTGCTATTGGCTGAGGCAAATACTAATTGTTACGATCACATGATGGATGCCTGTTTTTACACATAAAATAAAAATTCTTCTTCAAGTTCTTTATATTACACATAACCTGTTTCCCACCTTAGGCAGAGCTAAGAATAAACTTCCAATAGACTATTACTTCCAGAAATTTAGGATATCATTGTTTTTATTTTGTCCATAAATATTTTACAAGTATATATATTAACAGACTTTAAACTACTCTTCATGCCACTTGTTCATTCATAATGTAGTTCTAGAATATACACAGCTCAACTATAAAAGAGAAATTTAAATAGAAAATGACATGCTACAACACACACTTTAAAGTCTCTTAATGTAACAAGCAGTTTTAATATACTAAGATCTATATCGGGGGTGGGCAAACTTTTTGACTCAAGGGCCACAATGGGTTCTTAAACTGGACCGGAGGGCTGGAACAAAAGCATGGATGGAGTGTTTGTGTGAACTAATATAAATTCAAAGTAAACATCATTACATAAAAGGGTACAGTCTTTTTTTTTTTAGTTTTATTCATTTCAAACGGGCCGCATCTGGCCCGCGGGCCGTAGTTTGCCCATGGCTGATCTATATACTATGATCTTTAAATGTGTTTTTATTGATTTCAGAGAGAGGAAAAGAGAAGGGGAGAAGGAGAGAAACATTGATGCGAGAGAGAAACATCGATTGGTTGCCTCCCTCACACACCCTAGTCAACCAGAGACCAAACCTGGACATGTGCCCTGACTGGGAATCGAACCATCAACCTTTTAGTACATGGGATGATGCTTAACCAACTGATGCTGAGTCACACCAGCCAGGACTATATACTATGAATTTAAAGACAACCTCTAGTTCCAGTACTTGAACTAGGTGGTTGGTTCACAAATGTTCATTTTTATTTAAGAATAGTAAGCAAGTAAACAAACAAACAAACAAACAAACAAAAAGGTAAGATACACCTAAGGTTTTGGTGTACGATGAACCAGAGATTATGTGTGAATGTAAATTTCTTTTTTTTTAAGTTTATTGTGAATTGAATCATTATTCCAAGAGAAAATTGAAATAATTTTAGAATTATTTCGATATTTATGCAGTAATAAAAGCACTGAAATCTGGTTGTTCAGTCCTTACCTTCCTTTAGAGTTTCTTTTGTTAAGCTTCTTCCATAGTGCTGGTTTTGTGTCTCATAGCTATCAGAATGAACATGATAAACCTGTCAGAAAAAGCAGTGAATATTAAAAATGAATACTTCTTGACTGTGTGGAATTTATCACAGCAGTGGTTAAAGGTGGAAAGATCTATTCATATGAGTCATCCTAATGAAATAAAGGGGAAAAAAGTCATGTCATCATATCAATAGACTCTAAAAAAGCATTTAATAAATTTACATCCACTATCGATGAAAACTCTTTAAACGGATAGATGAATATTTCCAATAAGAAAAATTATCTACCTCAATCCACCAAAGGTCAGCATCAACTTAAGTTTAAAGTGGAAATTTAAAAAAAAAAAAGCATCTGTCCTAAAATATGAGAAGTTTCCAAAAAATGTGTTCTACTACAATGTCTTCTAACATCACTACTATCTAATGTTCTATAGCCTCTAGCAAATGCAAATAAGACAAGAGAAAGAAATTAGAGGAATAATAATTTGGGAAGGAAGAGATAAAATATTACTCTTTATAGGTAATGGACATATACTGAAAAATCAACTGAAAAACTAATACAAACTTGAAATGGTGACTGAGTACACAAAAACTTGAAATGGTGACTTTGATATACACAAATAACTGGTTAGAAACATAATGGAAAACTCCATTTACAAATGCAACAAAAGAGAAATAAACTAAATAAAGGTACAATCTATATAAAGACATTTTTAACAAATTCCTAAGACATACACACAAACACACACCCATGGTCTCAGAGAGGGAGACTCAATATAAAAGATGTCAATTCTTGTACCCCTATGTTCACTGTAGCATTATTTATAATAGCTAAGATTTGGAAGCAGGCCAAGTGGCCATCAGTGGATAAGCGAATAAAAAAGCTGTGATACATTTACACAATAGAATACTACTCAGCCATAAAAAAGAAAGGAAATCTTATCCTTCTGACATCATGGATTGACCTAGAGAGTATTATGCTAAGTGAAATAAATAAGTCAGACAAAGGAAGACAAATACCATATGATTTCACTTTTATGTGGAGTCTAAAGAACAGAATAAATAACAAAACAAAAACAGACTCAAAGTGGCTGTATCATTTTGCACCAGCTGTGTAAGAATGTTTTAATTCTTCCTCTTGTTAACACTTGGTATTACCAGCCTTTTTAATTTTAGTGAATAATAAAGTTTTAAGGCAGGGAAATAGAATGAATAAAATGAGAGCATCAAGTGGGAGGAGTTAATTTATAGACGAGTGACAGTGGGGATGGCTTGCAGTTTGGGTATGGAGTATAGGCTGACATCCGAAACCTCTAATTTTGTTAGCCAACTAAAGGCCCGGTGCACGAAGTTCGTGCACGGGTGGGGTCCCTGGGCCTGCCTAGTGATCAAGGCTGATTGGGGCCAGGCTGATCAGGGCCAGGCCGATTTGGGCCTGAAGGCCCTGGCGGGGTTGGGAGAGGAGGTAGTTGCCGGGCCAGGAGTGGAAGGAACGGACGCTGGACGCCAACACTGCTTTTGGCGCCCCACCACCGTGTGGTTCCCCACCTCTCCCCCTTCTCCTTCTCTCACTGCTGCACTGTCACTGGGGCCTGCCGGCCAGGAAAGGTTAACCACCAGCCCCACCACCACCCACACCGGTTCCCTGTTCCAGCCCAGGGCCCAGTGGGGAGGGACTGTGAGAGGTTGGCCGGCCAGGGAGGTTTGCTGTGGGAGCACACTGACCACCAGGGGACAGCTCCTGCATTGAGCATCTGGCCCCTGGTGGTACGTGCACGTCATAGCAACCGGTTGTTCCAGTCACTCAGTCATATCGGTCGCTTAGGCTTTTATATATATAGATGTTACCCCAATAAATTCAATAAAAAATGAGAAATTTAAAGATATCAATTCTACTTAAATTAATCCACAACTAAGATAAAATAATAATAAAACACCAACAATTTTTATAAGCATATAAGCCAATCTGAAGTTCATATAGAAAATGACATATCCCAGGAGGGCCAAATCATGCAATGCCTTTTTTACTTATCCTGTATATGTACCCTAAAGCAATGGAATCCCACTGAAGAGTTTTTAATAAGAGAATGCCATGATTGTTTTACAATGTTTGGAGAACAGATTGAAAGAGAAAAACTGAACTTGAGAGATCAGTTAAGAGACAAGGTTCTGTAAAAGGATAATGGTGATAATGGGATTTGAGATGCTGGGGAATTAAGATCAATAGAATGGCTCTGAGAGGTAATGGTGACTACAAGGTTTCCAGTGTGTAAAACTAGCACTGCCATTTATGAGATAAGGAATAATCTCAGTATTTGTTGAGATTTGTTGTGGTTGGTTGCGAGATGAGTGTATCGCTTTTTTATATATTAGTTCTAGATGTTTTTAAGTCATCCTAGTAAAATGTCTGGTAGGGTTCTAGCTATCCAGATTAGGAGATCAAAGAAAAAGCTGAGGCTACAGATATGCCTTTGGGAGTATCAGTGTAAGTGAAACTGATCCAATAAGAACAAAGGACACTGCTTAGGAAAAAAGAGAAAATAAAGACAGTAAAATGGAACAGAGTGGAATACCTCAACACCTAAAAAATAAACGGGGGGAAAATTAGCTGGCAAAGAAAACTGCAAAGTAGCCTTTGGAAACACCAGAACAGGGTGTAATCTCAAGGACACAAAAAGGATATTTTCAGGAAAACATAGTCAGTCTTCAAGGCTGCTTTTCAAAGTGCAGTAAGGTTAGTAATGAAAATGGCATTTAGATTTAGTAACATGAAGATGTCATTAGGGACCTTAGTGAAAGCTGATCTGGTGGCATGGTAGAGCAAATGCCAGATTGGAGGCTGAAAAATACTAAGTGGGAAGTAAGGCGATGGACATAACTATTTTGATTGTGAAGGGGAGGCAAGTTAAACCCACTGGTGGACAGCAGAGCAAGGTAAAGGTAGGTTTTGATGATGTCGTTTTTTAAAAATTGAGAGTGATCTGAACATATATAAAACAAAAGGAAGAGTGTCAGGAAAGAGACAGAAGTTGAAGATATAAGACAAGAAAGAATCAATAGTATTAGGTTCCTAAAAAGGTGGAAGGGAATGAGATCCAGAGGGCATAGGGAAGGGCTGTCCTTAGGACAGAAAATTCATCAATGTGAGAGAAAGGAATAAAGGGGAAATGAAAGCACTTGTATGTTAGGTATGCACATCTGTTAGCAGGAAAGAAAAGGAAATCCTATCTAATGGCTTTAATTTTTTCTGAAGCAGAAGGCAAGGTCCTCTGAAAAAAGTGAAAAGGAAAGTGGGAGGCTAAGATTTGAAAACAGCGGATGTTTAAATAGTTTCTCCTGTGGGATGTTTATTTCTTGTTTGTTTTGACATTACGCCATTAATCCTTTTTCCTTTTCGTGTATACGCACATTTAATTATCGTTTTCTAAATGAAACAACTGTATCAACAATTCCTTTGATCAGAATACCAAATTCAACTGTGCTGTTATAATTATCACATTAACAATACATCTATAATGCTTCCTATTTATTAACTCTCCTATTTAAAACTCAGAAGATCCATATATCATCTTTTATGATGAATTTCAAAACTACGCCATTATGTTTATATAGGTAGTAATCATTTATCAAACTTAAACTTCACACTTCTAACCTCTATTTCCAGAGCCCTTGTAGCTCCCACTCTTGCCTTTTAGGAATGTGGCACATGAAGAAGCTCCAACTAGCCTCCTGGAGGATGAGAAACCACATGGAAAAAGGCCCATCCGAAAGTTAGAATAAGCTCCACCACATAAGTGAGGTCATTGTAGACCACCTAACCCCAGCAGAACCATCAGATGAGTTCAGCCACACAAGGGACCCTGGGTGAGATCAGCAGAACTGTCTACTTGAGGCCAGCTCAAATTGCCAACCCACAGAATCATGAGCAAATAAAACAACTGTTTTTAAACCACAGTGACCTAATTTTAGTTTCCCTTTTCCATTTAAAAAATATAGAAAAATTACTGAATATATAAACATAGTACTTTCCTCAAAGCAAAATCATAAACAATATAACATTAACTTACCACGTCATTTATATTACAGCTAAACTTCCATCTATAATGCTTCCTATTTATTAACTCTCCTATTTAGAACTCAAAAGATCCATATATCATCTTTTATGATGAAATTCAAAACTACGCCATTATGTTTATATAGGTAGCAATCATTTATCAAACTTAAACTTCACACTTCTAACCTCTATTTCCAGAGCCCTTGTAGCTCCCACTTTAAAACCTCTTTAAAACAAAATTACCAGAGTTGGACCTCTTGAGGTTCATCCATTTATTTATTAATCACATACTATATGTCACAATCATTCCAGACACTGACCATATATCAGTGAACAAAAAATAAAAATATCTGCTTACATTGGGGAGTTGCAGACAACCAAATTTCAAAATATATCATCTTATATATTAGTATTATAATGACATCTATAATTTTCAAGAAAAGAACATGTAAAGAAAGATATGTGTATTATACTAATAATCACTCTTACCCTCATGCCAAGCACCAAGAACCCAATCTCTTCCATTAATGGGTACTTGCTGACCTGTTGCTGAATCTTCTCAGATGAGGCAAAAGGATCATAGCTTTTTCGCCCTATCTTTACATCCATTATACAGGGCTTATTAAATTTATGGGTCACATCTTCCAGTTTTAGGTATAAATCTGTTATGAAAGAAAAACTTTAATTAGTGATAAGCAAACATATTACCACTCAAATAACTTCCAGGAGAAACAAAATGAGGACAACTTAAAACTGAGAAAAAAGTTAAAACAACTCCAGAGTCAACAATTAGTATAAATATCACAGAGAAACACTTGCAGGAGGGGGATTAAATAATATTCAACCATTAGCAAAAGGTATGAAGTAGATGTAAGATTTCCAAGGACATTAAAAAGGCACAATGAGAGCCCTGGCTAGTGTGGCTCAATTGGTTAGTTGAGTGTTGTCCCTTCGGGGCACATGCCCAGATTTTGTGCTCAATCCCCAGTAGGGGGCGTGCAGGAGGCAGCCAACCGATGTTTCTCTCTCATGGATTACTGCACTCATGGATTACCGAAGAATTTCTATAAACATTTACACGTATTTATTAGAAAGTCTGAGGACTATAAAGGAAATACTTGTGGAGACAATAAAACCCCTTCTAAACAATCTTTTAAAACTGAGTACTCAATTACAGTATCTAGACATCCAATTTAACACCATCCTCAACCACCTTTGTTAATCTTTAGAAGTCACGTTCTTGAGGAATAATCCTATATAATAAAGAGCTAATATGCAAACGGTCATCACACCCTCCAGCCAGGGGACCTGAGGCCGTGCCCCCTGCCCTGTGGGGCTTGTTGGGGGTGAGGCCGGCCAGGTCTGGGTCTCACGTGATTTTGAGGCACACGCTGGTGGACGGGGACTTGACTCTGGGTCTCGCGGAATGCCCCAGACTCTGACAGGAGGGAATTTTTCATATACATTTTACTAATTTTCTTTCATCTCTGACACTTCTATTATAGAGAAAGGGCAAAGAGCAATATTAAAATATTTCCTCTAATTAATTTCCTTTTAATGTGCACGAATTTTGTGCACCAGGCCACTAGTGATTAAATAATGTTCTAAGTTAAACATTAATCAGTAGCAAAATTCATTGAAATCTAGGTATCTTACACGACAATGGAAATCTCTATAATTACAATGACTTGTGAAATAATAATTTAAGCAACATGCTGATCTGAATCAGAAACATATACATTTGGGACTAATAGACAAGAAGGAAGGAAGGGGGGGACAAAAGGGGAGGGGAGGAGAAAGAGCCTAGGCTCACTTTTCCCCACTCCCATACAACTGAAATATGGGCAAATCCTAAATACCCAGGGGAACCGCTGATTTAGTATTACCTAACTAAGGATACTCACAGGAGAGTACTATGATTCCCTATTGATGAAACTTGATACACAGTCCATAAGTCAAAGGAAGAGAGAGATCTAAGGAAAAGAATAAGCTCAAGCTGGAGGACCCTTGTTTCCTCTTCTCAAAATGTAGTCCAAGTACTATCTATATTAAAAAAGCTTGTCGCTTTTAAAAAATATGTATTTTTTTTATTGGTTTCAGAGAGGAAGGGAGAGGGGGAGAGAGAGAGAGAAACATCAATGATGAGAGAGAATCATTGATCGGCTGCCTCCTGCACCCACCTCATTGGGGATCAAGCCCGCAACCAGGGCATGTGCCCTTGACCAGAATCGAACCTGAGACCCTTCAGTCCACAGGCCGACATTCTATCCACTGAGCCAAACCAGCCAGGGCAAGCTTGTCGCTTTTAACAAGCATATCACTGAACTCCAACATAAACTATAATCAAAATGTCTGGGCATTTAGCCTATTAATATGCATTTTAATAAGCCCATGGGGGGACTCTTCCCCTTCCCTACATGGGAGTCAGTTCTGTGGGACTCTTCCCTTTCCCCACGTGGGAGTCTGTACTTGTTCTTCAATAAATCTCCACCTTTGCTATTAAAAAAATAAATAAATAAGCCCATGGGTTATTCTTAAACTCAGTCAAGTTTCAAAATCTTACCCCATTCACCAACCTTCTTCAATAGTTACACAGTCAAGCTGCTTGTTTAATTAAATTCTGTCTGCTCAAAGGCCCAGAAGTGGCAAATACTGCTTCAAGTATTAACTAATATTAAGAGAGAAATGTTGTGCCCTTACATAGATCAGTTTGTCCTCTATAAAACTTACTGGTATTTTTTTAAATATTGCAATTTAAAGCCCTGAAGTGTGGGACGAAGAAGTGGGATATGAGACAGGGAGGAAGTTATGCAAGGAAAATATATTTCATGATGTTTTCTCCCATTCAAAATGAAAAGAAAAAGAAATTACAAAAAAGCGAACATCTGTAAATTAATACAGTATTAAGTACTAGTATATATATTTTCATTCAATTATAACAGACTGATCATTAATTTGTATATACCATTTAAGAAACTGGTTGTGAAGAGCAAAAGTATTAATAAGTTTCTTTAATGAAGTAGAGAATTATTAGAAAAAAAATCACACATGTATTCAGTGTTTATAATACCAGGCTCACTTTTATATAAACCTTTTATAAAACCTCTCTCCTGAATTAAGAATAAAAGTTTTTACCTAAAAACTTACCATTTGGTGCAGTGGGAGGTGACCAGATGCCATAATATTTTGGCAAATATTTTCGTAGCTCTAAAAGAACACCATCGGTACAATCAGCAGCATAAACCTGAAAGAGAGAAACAGAACTTGCATATTAGTTTCTTATACTGTTTTACAAGTGCCCTACACTTTTCTCAAATAAAATAATACTGTTTATCATAATATATCTAAAATTTTGAATAAGCAAAAAAAAAAAGAGTACACTGTGTTTCCAATGAAAAATTATGTATTGTTTAGATTATCTAATTCTAGCCTTTCACTGTCCTTGAACTATTTTACAACAAAATAAGCTGTAGATAACTCTTAGCAGATGCAAAATAATTCTTACAAATAAATTCTGGCCAGGGAAGGTTCTCAGAACTTTCATGGAAGGTGGGAGTTTAGTGAACATTCCTAAATTCATTTCAACTTCCCTTTATTTCATATAAATGTGTGCTTCTTTGACTTTTTTTGAACCAGTTTTAACATCTGCCTAGTTCCCTCATTAAATAATAAGTTTAACAAAATCTTTAACACGTACATATTTGATATCTGTAAGGAAGTTGTGGTTTTACCTTTTAAAAAAAAATCCTTCACCTTAACGTAATTCTAATCATTGCTCACTTAATTTGTTGATATATAAGCAGTAATAATTCTAGAAAATATTAGACATGTCTAGATGTTGGGAAGCATGAGACTTGGTTGGAAAGTTTGTAAGGAGGACGTGCTGAAAAAAGGGAAGTGTGTGGAATTCTGACTTAGGGGAGACATGGGAGTGTCGAAGGCAGTGCCCCTAATTATTCCTTGACCTTTCCAAACAAGCCTGTGCTAATGCAGACCCCCAGCTGAAAAGCCAGGCCGCCTCTATTGCCCGCCTCGTTAGGCCTTTATTGGAATTTTTATCTTTAGATACAATCAGTAGGGCGAGTAATCTTGGGAGGACACATGTTTACATGGTACTCTAGGCCAGGGCATCCAGGGATTAAGCGTAATTCCAATAAACATCCGGGGTCTGCATGTGCACAACTGACCTTTAAACTGAGGGCTGATGTTTAACTGGAAGGCTGCTTTCTCCTTCCACAGCCTCCCACGCCCCTCACCCTTACCTTTTTCGCCAAGCTGTCTCTGCCTCTCCTTAGTAGCTGAGCATCTTTGGGAACATTTAAGGGAATGTGAGCACAATGCAGTGTTTTTACAAGCATGTTGTGGTGTACACACTTTGTAAGTACTTTTTTTGTTGTTGATGAGGCAACCATTTGTAAAACATTCAAAATCATTCCACAGTTCTCAAGCAGTAGTCTAATCCCTTTCTCACTTTTAGTAGGTAATTTTTCAGCTTAATCCACATTGTCCTCTCCATAGAGGAGGGAAAGAGGTATGGCCTGCCTTACTGGGATCCACATAGAGCCCAGAGAACGACTCCACTCCCAAACAGATCAGAGAAAGACTCCACTATGGTTACAAATATGCCCCTTGCCCTAACGGGTTTGGCTCAGTGGATAGAGCGTCGGCCTGCAAACTGAAGGGTCCCAGGTCCGATTAAGGTCAGGGGCATGTACCTTGGCTGCGGGCACATCCCCACTAGGGGGTGTGCAGGAGGCAGCTGTTTGATGTTTCTCTCTCATTGATGTTTCTATCAGAGAAAGACTCCACTATGGTTACAAATATGCCCCTTGCCCTAACGGGTTTGGCTCAGTGGATAGAGCGTCGGCCTGCAAACTGAAGGGTCCCAGGTCCGATTAAGGTCAGGGGCATGTACCTTGGCTGCGGGCACATCCCCACTAGGGGGTGTGCAGGAGGCAGCTGTTTGATGTTTCTCTCTCATTGATGTTTCTAACTCTCTATCCCTCTCCCTTCCTCTCTGTAAAAAATCAATAAAATACATTTAAAAAAATGCGCCTTTCCAGGAACAAAGAAAATAATAAAAGGGAAAAAGAAGGACGGAAAATGCCTGGCCAGTGTGGCTCAGTGGTTGACCGTCAAACCATGCACCAAGAGGACGCTGGTTCGATTCCTGGTCAAGGGCACATAATGGGGTTGCAGGTTCAATCCCCCATTCTCGTACAGGCACATGTGTCTCTCACACTCTCCACACCCCCCCACCTTCCTCTCTCTCTAAAGATCAAAGGGGAAAGATATCCTCGGATGAGGATTAAAAAAAGAAGAAGGATGGAAAGGAGGAAAGGAAGAAAGAGAAACAGACAGGCATTCCCAGCATGCGAGGCTCAGCGGGTGAGCATCAACCTATGAACCAGGAGGTCACAGTTCGATTCTCACGATTCCCAATCAGCGCACTTGCCGGGGCTTCAGGCTCAATCCCCGGGACGGGGTGTACAGGCAGTAGCCAATGGATGACTCTCTCTCATCATTAATGTTTCTCTTCCTCTCCCTTTTTCTCTGATACACACACACACACACACACACACACACACACACGAAACAGAGATAGGCAAAAGGCTCTGATAAATGTATAGGTAAGTTCTATCAAGCCTTTAAGAAACAAAATCTTTTATGTGAAAAATTCTTCCTCAAAATACAATAAGAAATGCTCCTCAACTCATTTTATCCAGCTAAAAGAATTTGGAATCAACCAAAGACAAAATTTAAAATAATAATTCAATCTCATTTATGAGCATGGCTGGGAAAAATCTGAAATAAAACACTAGCAAACAATATTCGGTAATTCATAATATTAAAAATAAAAAAGACACTCTAGTAGGTTTCATTTCAAAAAATGAAAGGTGATATAGTATTAGATAGCTATAATGACATTAGTAGATTAAAGGAGGAAATTCATGCTAATTTCAATAGATACAGAAAAGGTAGTTCAAAAATATTCAATACCTATTCATATCATACTTTAAATTGTTTCCTGAAATAAAAATGGAAAGGATACTATATATTTTCCCTTTCCACCTCCACAATTTTCTTCCCAAGGAGCTGACCTGAATCAACTGCATCAGTGGGATCCCTTGCCCTCTGGTCATTCTTTTACTAATGGGAGACAGTTGAGGTTGGATTATTTACTTCTCTAGTTCCCTCCTTATCAGTTCATACCTTCTCATAAAGTTACCTTCCCTGGGTTCCAGTAACCACTCCCTCTCCTTGCCCTTAGAGGCCCAGGGATGATATAGCATTATCCTAACTCTGACCACGCCTAGGTAAACAATCCCTTTATTAAACTGACAGAATACATAATTTATCTCTTGTCAGAACCTTGACTCACACAAAAGGCAATTTCCTTAACCTAGGAAGAAGTATCTACCAAAACTTTAGAAAGAAGACATATTTTAACAGGGAAATGTTAAAAGTACTTTTGTTATATGAGAGGAAGATACCCTCATCATTGCTTCTATTGAGCCCTGAAATTGAAGTCCTTGACAGAAGTATATGGATTCAAAAAGGACAAACAAAACTTCCAATCGCAAAATATATAATTATCTATAGAGAAAACAATTAAAATTGTTAGGGAATCTCAGATAAATATGAGTTAAAAAGAATTCACCAAGATTACTAGACAAAGAACATTAGATAAATATCTATTTTATTCTTATATATTAGCAATCATTGGACCACTTAATTCAAGAACTACCGTTTACAACTCAAACAAAAAATAAGGTACCTAGAATAAATCCAACAAATTACGTACAAGACTTTTACTGAGTAAATATAAAATACTTTCTTCAAAAAATAGACATTATGTAACAGCTAAAAACATATATCCTAGAGCTTAGACTGCCTACATTCAAATCCTGGGACCACCATTTACGTTAGCATGATCATGATCAAATTATTTAAACTAATCATGCCTTAATGTACACATGTATAAAATGAAGCTAAGAGTACCTATCTCATAGGTAGTTGTGAGGGTTAAATGAGTTAATAATGGTAAATCATGTATAACAGTATTTGTTTTTTATCTTTAGCTTGTATCTTTTTACTTGTACCTAAACTTAAGAGCTAACATCATAGCATTTAGAGGAAAATATAACTTTAGATATGACACCAAAAGCACAAGACAAAAAAAAGGAAAAAAAGATACACTGAATTTCAATATTTAAAAATTTTCAGCTTCGAAGAATACTACGAAAAAAGTGAAAAGACAACCCAAAGAATGGGAGAATATATTTGTAAATCATATATCTGACAAGGGACTTGTATCTAGAATATGTAAAGTACTTCTATTTATAATAATAAAGCATAATATGCTAATTAGACCGGACAGCCAAACGACCTTCTGGTCGAAGCAGGGGCTGCAAGGGCCAAGCCCCTTGCACGAATTGTGCACATCAGGCCTCTAGTGACTAAATAAAAGACATCCCAATGAAGAAATGAACAAAGGATCTAAACAGACATTACTCCAGAGAGGATTTAGACATGGTCAGTAAGCACATGAAAAGATGACCAACATCATTAGCCATTAAGGAAATGCAATTAAAATATACCACACTGAGGTAACAACGCTTCACACTCACTTGGATGGCCCTTAAGAAAGAAAACTAAGAAGTGCTGGTGAGGATGTAGAGAAATTAGAACCCTCATACATTGCTATGGAAATGTCAAATGGTGCAGCCACTTTGTTAAACATTGGACAGTTCCTCAAAAAGCTACATGTAGAATTATCATATGACCCAGCAATTCCAGTCTTAGATATATACCAAAAAAAACTGGAAACAGGTACTCAAACAAATATTTGTACATGAATGTTCATAGAAGCTCTACTTACAAAGGCCAAAACGTAGAAACAGCCCAAAGGTACATCAATGGATAAGTGACACCAAAAGCACAAAATGTGGTAAGTGTAACGGAATATTACTCAGCCATAAGAAGGAACACAGTACTAATGCACACTATAATATAGCTGCACCTTAAAAATATGAGACCAAAAAGAAACCAGACACAAAAGGTCACCTATTGTATAAACAGACTGGTGGTTGCCAGGGATTGGGAGGAGGGAGGAACAAAGCATCATGCCTTCAGAGTTATAGGGTTTTCTTTGTTTCAGTCACACACACATTATACTAAGACATGCTATCAAATATATTTCTTACTAAGTCACCACCAGAAAACTGAAAACCACTATGAATACAACAAACAAATCTTACCTCACTTACCATATTATAGAATTCTAACTCTCTTGGGCCCCTTGGAGGTGGCTGTAGCTGTTTCAAAACTGTGCCATCTGGATGTTGCAAGATACCTATAGAACAAAAATTGGATACTGTATTTCTTAATGCTTTTGTAATAGTGTATCTTGCATCCTAGAATAGATTTAGATTTGTTCCTGAAGTTAGAGATAAACGACTTTCATAAATTTAAGGGTTTCCTTTTACTTATTTCAGAAATTTTAACATTCAACCAACATGTTTCAGGGCTTGTTCTATGCAAAGCACCAGAACACAAATTTTAAACAGCTTGGTTTTATTGTCTCCACAACTATTCACTTATAGCTCCTTCAGACTTTCCAGGAGATGTTAATTTATAGTTAAGCAAGAAGCAAGTTAAAAGCAGTAGCAAAAATCAATCTCACTTTTATAGAGAAAAACGATGGACCAATATGAATCTTCTACTTTGTAATTTCTTATAAGTTTCTTTCATCTGTTATAAGAAAGCACTTTTTTTTCTTGATTCAGATGTACTGTGTACAGTTGCAAAGACAGAATGAGGGCATCTAGCCAACGGGAAAGTGGGGCACCAAGTCAGAAGCAGGAAGGGGCGCCTTTTTATAATCGGCCCACTCAAAGAAGGAGCCTTTTCCTAAAGTCATGTCCTAGCACTGGCCCTGTCCCTATGCCATGAAGACTCATTCCCAAAAGTATGTTAAAATCTTAAATGCTCACATATTGAGTTTTCATGAAATCATGTTAGTTAGAACACAATAACAAGTCCAAATAAATCTATTTAAAACTTTGATAAAATATGCCGCTTAATTTCTATTGCTTTTGCCAAGTGTCAGGAATTTTTAATCATAATAAAAATGCAAAAATTAATCAACAGAAGCAGAGAGTCTCAATTTAAGATTGCAGTAATTAAGTTGTTTTAATACCTAGATATAGAATAGGTAAATATAAACCCATGTGGATAAGATTGGTTGGTAAGCAGTCAAAGGACCTGGAGACTTTAAGAAATAGTCTAATATAACTAAAAATTAGTGAAGAGAAAGTCTAATTCTGAAGGTCAGGATATGTAGAACAAGAAAGACCTTCACTCCCATGGTTGAGAGACATTTTCTATGTGCCAATGAAGAGTGAAAGATAAAAAGAAACCTTGATGAACTCAATTCCAGAAGGTGGCGAACATGGAGCATTCAGAAATGAGAGAACCATGGCAGCTTCTCTTCCTTGGGACAGGCACCTAGTCTACATACAGGCGCACCTGCCGTGAAACACATTTCACAGGCAAGCAAAAACCAACTTGACTGTACACAACAACGTGTGGTAGCAGGATGGATTAGAGACAACAGTTTTAACGGACTGCTTGGTCCAGCAATTCTTCCACACTACTCGCTCTGCAACACACCCCATCTAATTTTTCAGAAAAAGTAGCCATGTAAGAGAATATGGTAATCCCAGGCATTCGCCCTGTGAATGAATTCCAGAATCCAAAAATAAACCAACAGTATTTTAAACTGCAGACAAATCCCTCCCACCTGAAAAAGTATCAAGATTTTAAAAGGGGGGGAGGGGGGAGGAGAGACTGAGCCAATAACAGAAATACTAAATCTAAGACTGGAGCCCAGCATCAGCTTAACTAAATTCTAGGAAGAATATGGCTTATCAGCCTCTTACCTTAACAGAGGAAAGGACTTATACTCTATGTGGAAAAAAAAAAAAATCCCTGCTGTTCTTTAAATAAAATGTGAAAAATCCAATAAAAAAATCAATAAAACGTGATGCATAATCAAGAGAAAACAAAGTCAACTGACAAACACAGAAGTTGACAGATGACCAAGTAATTTTAATCAGCAAACAAAGATGTTAAAATGATTATAAACATGTAAAAAAGTTATAGAAAAAAATGACTATAAATGCTGAATAGATGAGGTATTTCATCTATTGGGAAACATTAATTGTGTTCAGGAGAGAAACAGAAATTGTAAAAAAGATCTAAAGCAGAGAGTTAAACAGGAATACTGGGGGGAAAAAATCCTTTGGCAAATCAGCCTCTCTAAACATAAGATTATTAGAGGCCCGGTGCACAAAATTCATGCATTTGGGGGTGGGGGGCAGTCCCTCAGCCCAGCCTGCAACTTCTCACAGTCCACAGTCCGGGAGCCCTCAGGGGATGTCCGACTGACGGCTTAGGCCCGCTCTCTGCCTAAGCTGTCAGTCAGACATCCTTAGCACTGCCGTGGAGGTGGGAGAGGCTGTGAGTCTGCCTCAGGGCTTCTGGCTGAGCAGCGCTCCTCCTGTGGGAGTGCACTGACCACCAGGGGGCAGCTCCTACATTGAGCGTCTGCCCGCTGGTTGTCAGTGCGTGTCATAGCGACTGGTCGTTCCATTCAACCAATCAAAGCATAATATGCCGTTTGGTCAATTTGCATATTAGCCCTTTACTATCCTAAATAATAAAAGCCTAATATGCTAAGTGTCTGGTCGTCCGTTCAACCAATCAAAGCGTAATATGCTAATGATATGCTAAGGCCACTCAATCGCTTGCTATCATGTGCACTGACCACCAGGGGGCAGACCGGTCGCTATGATGTGCACTGACCACCAGGGGGCAGATGCTCCAACCGGTATAGGTTAGCTTGCTGTTGCGGCAAGGACTGAGCGAGGCGGGCCAGACATGCCCTAGACCCCTCCTGTGGTCCCTCCCCGACCCCGATCATGCACCTGGCTTGTGCCCCCTCACAATCTGGGACCTCTTGGGGGATGTCAGAGAGCCGGTTTCAGCCTGATCCTACAGGCCAGGCCAAGGGACCCCACTGGTGCACAAATTGGTGCACCGGGCCTCTAGAATAGGGTAACAGAGGAATTTCAAGCCCACAGAGCACTGAAAGTGTATTAGTCTGCTCAGGCTTCCATAACAAAATACCATGGACATATGGTTTAAACAGCAAATATTTATTTTCTCACAGTTCTAGAGGCTAAACGTCCCAGTTCAAGGTGCCAACCAATTTGGCTCCTGGTAAGAGTTGTATTCCTGGATTGTAGCCTTCTCACTTTGTAAGGGAGAAGGGAATGAGGGAGAAGAGGAGTGGGAGGGGGGCAGGGAGAGGGTGAGAGTGTGAGAGAGAAAACACTCTCTCATGTCTCTTTTTATAAGAACAAGAAGCCCAATGGATCATGCCCCCACCCTTGTGACCTCATTAATCTTAATTACCTCCGTTAAAGCCCTATCTCCAAATACAATCATATTGGGGGCTGTTGATTTTTTAACAATGAATTTTAGGGAACACAACATTCAGTCCATAACAGAAGATAACCATAACAGCTACAAAATTCAAACTTGCTTTTACTGACTAAACTGGTTCAATCACCAACATTAATAGCCTAGCAGAACAGATATTTTAATTTCAGGCAAAAATACTGTTTTCATAAGTTGTTTAAATCCTACACATAATGTCTAGAATTTAATAAAAAAAATTATAAGACAAATGAAAAAGCAAGGGTAAAAAGTCACTGTCAAAAGATAATGCAACGAAAAGAACAGTTTGAGGTGACACTGATGTTGTAATTATCAAAGAAGCTTAAAATAACCATAACTAATATGTTAAAGGTTATAACAGAAAAGGTAGTAGACAGATGCATGAAAAGATAAGGAATTTCAGTAGAGAGGAATTTTGAGTAAATAGAATATTAGTAATAAAAAACATATAACAGAGACAAAAATGCTTTCTATGGTATCATCAGTAGACACAAAGTAGCAGAGGAAGGAATCAGTGAATTTAATGACAGGTTAACAGAAATTACTCAAATTGAAACACAAGAAGGAAAAAAAAAAGAAAGTAGAAAACAATCAGAAGAAAGTACCCACAAAATCTATGGGATATCAGTCTGAGAAAACTATCATTAGAATTTCACCCCTCTTCCCTAAAACATGAACAACAGTATCAGACAACTTGGCCATACTGACAAAGAATGTTACATAGTACAGATTATATGTTTTTTCCTGGACAAATGGAACATCTACCAAGACTTACCACATGCTGGACGATAAAATCAAAAGGAATTAAAATCACATAAGATTATTCTCTGACCATAATGGAAATAACAATAACATATTTAGAAAAATACCAAATAGAATAAAGATAAATGCATTTCTATTTAATCCATGAATCAAAATTCAGAAGGGATAAATATTAGAAAATATTTTTTGCTAAGTGATAATGAAAACTAAACATATCAAAATTTGTGTAATGCAGCTAAAAACTACTGCTTAGTGCTTAGTGGAAAATGTGTCATTTTAAATGCTTGTATTAGAAAAGTAAAAAGAAGGTTCCAGCCTGGACGGCATGACTCAGTGGCTGAGCCTTGACCTATGAACCAGGCGGTTGTGGTTCGATTCCCGATTCCCAGTTAGGGCAAATGCCTGGGTTTCGGGCTCGGCATTAAGCAAACAGCCAATCAATGATTCTCTCTCATCATTGATGTTTTTTCCTCTCTCTCCCTCTCCCTTCCTCTCTCTGAAATCAATAAAAATATATTTTTTTTAAAAAAAATTTTTTTTAATGGTTCCAACCTAAAATGCTAGAAAAAGAACATATTGACTCCAAATAACTGGAAAGACAAGAGCCAAAATAAATAAATAAATAAATAAATGACAATAGAGAAATGCCAATGAAACTAAAAGGTTCTCTGATAAACCTCTAGCTAGACAGATCAAGAAAAGAAAAAGCAAACATAAATTACCATTACCAGGAATAAATAAAAGATAACAGTACAAATCCTACAAACATTAAAAGCATAAGAGAATTATGAACTTCACACCAATAAACCCAACAACTTAGGCGAAATGAATACTTTCCTTTAGACACTAATTATTAAAATTGACACAAGAAGAAATGGAAAATCTGAGTTGGCCTAAGTCTACAAAAAACACTGAATTCACAATTTTAAATATCCGGAGAAAAATCATAGGCTGAAATACTTCACTAGTAAATTCTATCAAACATTTAGAAAAAAAATAATACCAATCTTACCAAATTTGTTCAGAAAAACAGAAAAACAGTAAACAATTCCCCACATATTTTGTGAAGCCAACATATTCTTGATTTTTTAAAACCCCAACAAAGGCTTAAAAAAATTACAGACCATTCTTTCAAATGAACATAGTCACAGAAATCTTTAATAAAACATTAGTAAACCTAATCCAGCAATATATACAGGGTAATTTATCATGACCATGTGGACTTTATTCCAGGAATGCAAGGTTCATTTAAATATTTCAAAATTAGTAAGTATGTTGATGTTTTGAGGAGACAGGGGTCTCAATGAGAAAAAAAGGAGACATAAATATAGAAGAAGCAAAGTAGAACCCTGCAGTATTAGCTTTAAGTTATAGGTAAATATAAACTCAAATGTTTAAGAATACAAAATTATGTACTTCTTAGTTCACCCTGCTGAGAAGACAAACCAGCAGCTACACACAAGGAGCAATGGTATACCCAGTGCTCGATCTTAGTTTTAAACACCATTTACCCCCAAAGGAACCAGATTTCTTGAAGAAAAATTGGCTCATTCCAGGGCTGGGACAGGGAAAGTATAAGATGAACATCAAATATCTTATTATGGCAGAAAGTGAGAAAATGCTTTCAAAGAAAAAAAAGGGAAATGTTTAAAAGACACAGGAGCCAGCTTGAAAAAGCTCCCACTGCCCAAATCTGGGACAACATGAGCATCAAAATGAGCAGCAACAATAATGGCTAAGATCTATCCGTGGAAGTTTGAAAAGACTATTAGTCAAACCTAATAATGAATGAATGAATGAGAAAGGGGGGGAGGGGAGGAAGGAAGGAAGGAAGGCAGGAAGGAAGGAAGGCAGGCAGGCAGGCAGGCAGGCAGGAAGGAAGGAAGGAAGGAAGGAAGGAAGGGAGGAAGAAGGAAGGAAGAAAGGAAAGAAGGAAGGAGAAAAAAAGAGGAGACAAGGAAACTAAAGGAAAATACCAACTAACAAATATAACAGGAATGACTGAATATTACCATTTTGCAACTATCATAGCAATAAGTAAGTTGGTCAGATATTGTCAACAGATGCTTTTAACACTGGGTGAAAACTTTGATTAGGAACAGGATATTTAACAGTCTCAAAATATTCCTCTAAATAATTACTTCATTACAATAGGAAAAATGAAAACTTTACAGTGGAAAATATGGCAGACAACACTTACCCAGGAAATCAAAGTTACATCGGTAATGCAACTGACATTCTGTGTCTTATGATATGATGGTCCAAGAATACAACATAACTAATATATATTTTATCAAAAATGCATTTATCTGAATCCAATCATGAGAGAACAGCCTGACAAACTAAATTTAAAGGATATTCTAAAAACCCATACATGCCCTAACCGGTTTGGCTCAGTGGATAGAGCGTCAGCCTGCGGACTCTCAAGGGTCCCGGGTACAATTCTGGTCAAGGGCATGTACCTTGGTTGCGGGCACATCCCCAGTGGGGGGTGTAGAGGAGGCAGCTGATTGATGTTTCTTTCTCATCAATGTTTCTAACTCTCTATCCCTCTACCTTCCTCTCTGCAAAAAAATCAATAAAATTTATTTTTTTTTAAAAAATAAAATACAAGTTACATGGGTGGTCACTTAAAGTTATTTACAATACTGTCCACTTTTGTTGAATGGACTTTTCTTTATATAATGCAATTCACAATTTTTAAATGGTAAAGATAACGTCTGTCTTCTGCTCAAAACCCTGCATTCTACTAAGAAGGAAAATTAAATGTCTTCCATCCACTTTAC